TAGATGGAACGGCATGGGAGGAGGCAGCCCCAGTACACAACCTCATGACAGAACAACAACTGGTGGACCCTTACCGTACCCTCCAGCCAAGCTCCAAAGTCTTTACCTACTTCAAGCGTAATCATAGCCAGCACATCTCAGCGTCAAGGATTGACTTCTTCCTCACATCGGAAAACCTCCAGGGCGCAATTCAAACAACAGGAATCAGCGACCTGCCGTACTTTCCGGGACTGGACCACAAGTACATTTACCTGAACCTTGTTCTTGAAACGGGGGCAAAAAGAGGACCGGGCTTCTTTAAGGTCAACAGCTCTCTCCTCGATACACAGATCATGAAGCAGCACATCGTGGAGATGTGTGAAGCCTATGGCACTCGTACCAATTCCTTCCCACAACTGGTGGGGAGACTATCAATGGCCATGGCCAAGGCCTCGCCCATCCTGGCCGCTAGGAGATCAGCAAAAGAAAAGGAGTTGGAAGCAGCTCTAAGACTGACAGAGAGAAATCTAGTCACTGAGCCAGGTTTGACAGAACTGGAAGAAGCACTGGACGCGGCCAGACAAAAACTGGCTGAGTGGAAGTCTTGGAAAGATGCAGGCATACGACTGCGTGAACGAGTCAAAGAGTTGGAACCGGGCGAGAAGATGACAAAATACTTCTTTCAAAAGATAAAATCCAACACTCGAAATAAACTCATCGATTGGCTATACATAGGTGACACAGTCACTTCAGACCGGGATCGCATGCTATCAGTGGCAGCAGACTTCTACAAGGACCTCTATACTTCCAGAGAGAACCAATTGCCACAAGCAGCCGTAAGGGAGGCCAGACACAAGTTCTTGAACCATCTAGACAAGACCCTGTCACAAGAGCAGAGCGATGAGCTGGATAAACCACTTACTCAAGAAATCAGAGCAGCGTTGCATTCACTGGAACCGAACAAGACATCGGGCCGAGACGGACTATCCAAGGAGTTTTGGCAAACCTTTCGGCCATTGTTCGAACAAGAGTATATGACCTTCCTCAGCAAAGCTGAGACAGAGGAAGGACTGGGAAAATACATAAGCGCGGGGGTGGTCACCTTGCTGTACAAAAAAGGCGATCCAGCGGACATCAAGAACTACAGGTTGATCACGCTACCGACTGTCGTATACAAAGTGCTAGCCAAACTCTTGGCCAACCGCCTCAGCAAGATCACGAGCCGCTGCTTTCACATCGATCAAACCGGATTCATCCCATGAAGATTCATTCTTGACAACGTCATGACTCTAGCAGAGTCCACACGCTACATCAACGACAAACGCCTAAACGCAGCTATCCTGTTTTTCGACTTCGAAAAGGCTTATGACCAAGTCAACTGGAACTTCCAGCAGCAGTGTATGGAGCGGATGGGGGTGGGACACAATTTTAGAGATGGGTCGCTTCCTCTCCAACCCCTTCAAGATGTCATGCTCAGTCTGCCAAGGAGACCCGCTAGTGACACCTTTATTTCTCATTACGATGGAAGTGATAGCCTCCTTTCTGCAAAAGGACCCTTCTATCGGCAGATTGATAGCAGAACCGACCCTGCTCAGACATGCGGTGACCCTACCAAACACACTGCTTTTTGCGGATGATCTCCCAACCATTATCAAAGCCTCCGAGGCATCCTTTCAGGGACTTACCACAGCCATGCAAGAATTCCAACTGGCCTCAGAAATGAAAGTCAATTGGCACAAGACCACGGGATGGTGGCTGGTGGATTGTCCATGACCTCCTCAAGTGGCCTCCCCGGAGGGATTCGAGTGGCAGAACCCGAGAACACCCCTGCGCTATCTGCGAATTAAGCTTACAGATACAGGCCCGGACCAGGCCATGGCACCGGAGATGCTGACGAATATGATACGCAAAATGGACACATGGTCCAGCACCTACACGTCGGTATTCGAAAGGGCGTTAGTGCTAAATGCATCCATCTTCTCCATGTTGTGGTATGCAGCCACCATCTAGACGCCAGAAGACAACATGGTCACAACTCTCAAACAGTGAGCTACAACTTACCTATGGACTGGGAACCCCGTGTCACAGCACTTCATACCCAAGGTGGCTTGGTCACCTTATCCAGCCAAAGGCCAAAGGGAGATTGGCAGTCCTCGATCCTGCCACCCAAACTAAGGCCCTTCAAACGAAGTGGATTGTCAAACTGTTGGTACAACAACGACTGCCGTGGACCACATTGGCCCTGCATAGGATGAGACAGCTGCCCAAAGCAACCACTCCACCGAACATGCAAGGCCTCTTCTGGATAATGTCGAAATCGTGGGCAACCCGCAGCATTGCCCACCGGATGGACCAGCAGCAACAGCCACTGCCGCCGACCCGCTTGGAGTACTGGATGTATCTCATCAGGATCTGGCAAGAGATCTTTCCGGCCAAAGTTCAATCCCAACCATCAGAGAGGAAGTCCTGCTTCAGCCCCTCTTCTGCAACCAATGGCTGAAAGACCCAGTCAATAAACCATGGACCCTGATGACACAGGATAGCCGCTGGTCCGCTGGATCACGTGGTTGGAACGGGGAGTCTGGCAGATTCAACACATCTGGAACCATCACAGCAATCGCTGGAAGACAACCGCAGAACTTAGAATATCTCTCAAAGGCTGCCACAACTTGGAGGTCAGTTGGCAGGCGTTGTTACAATCCATACCACTGGACTGGGTGTCACTCTTACAAGCCCCCACCACCTGGACATACGGGGAGTGGGCCACGTGGCTGTCAGAAGACAACCCCACAGAGGCACTGTCATACGTCAAGTCAACAGGACCGACAGGGGACTGGGGACTGTGGGCCATCCACGACATCAAACAGCCAGGGAACAGCATCAGCAGGGTCTCAAAAACAGTACGCGCCAGGGTCACAGCCAAACGGTCTCTCCTCAGAAAAATCAGAGTAGTGGAGGACGACGACTACAGAACCGTCCAGCCAGGAATAGCCTTACAGGACTTGGAGTTTGACCCGTCTGAATGGGTATGGAAAACAAGATCCACGCCAATGGGGGCACCGAAACGCACCAACATCCTAGACTACTCGACCAGTTTCGACTATAAACTCAGACGAAAACCGGTAAACACAGAGCTCATCCTACCCCAGCGATGGGAGAAACACATCCCGGGATGCCTGGGCAACACGGGGAAGATTGACTGGCAGGTCCCTCTCGCCATCAGAAACACCCGCATAAGAAGCATGCAATGGCTAATCTACTATCATGCCTTGCCAGTCAATACATGGTTCAGCAGGAGAAGGTCAGAAACAGCTAGAAGATACTTCGGTGACAGTTGCGCAGTCTGCAATGAAGGCTCCCTCGAACATGTGCCACATCGTCTAATAAAGTGCCCAAATGCACACAGGATTTGGAGCAGAGCGCGGGAGTACTGGACGACGCTAGTCAGCACATCGTTGCCAGACAACCTGCTGACACGTTTAACGGGCATGGCACAGCCACGTTTCTGTGAAGACTGGCACTCGACCCTCTTCAGAAGACTCGGCCCTTCACACTGTGGATCACATGGAAGACATGATGCAAACAAACGATAGACGGCCAAAATACATCAACCAGAGAGGCCTGGGAGCATGTTCTACAACTCCTACACATGGAATACCAGGCAGATTGGCATAGAGCAACCAACAATATCAAAGACTACCCTACACAAAAGCAAATAATCATGGACAAACTCATCAAGGATAGACTCGGAATGGGCAAGCTCGGCACGGTATAGGCATTTATTATCAATCTACCTAACAGCCAGGTCACACTCAACCCCCCCCTTTTTTTTAGCGGGTAGATTGGTAGTGCCTAAACTTATTGGGTCCACCAGGGCAAAGTCCCGCTAGCAATTAAGATTGGATTTAACGCCTGAATATGGACGTGTTTGTGGAGAGAAAATTGCAACTGGTCTGCTTTTCTGCAGCGCCGGAGCCAAAAAAAGAAAAAAAAGGCGCTGCAACCCGCAGGCTGAGCTGAGTGAAGCAGCGGCCCCTGGCGGTACCGCCCCCCGACAGTTTCTCTTGGGCCTGGCGGGGGGGGGCGTGACATGGGCCCACGATTCGCTTTAGGAGTATAGGAGTATGTATTCTCTTTAGGCGTATAGAGATAGAGCTTTGCGTAAAACACGTCCAGACTCAGGCGCTTGATCCAATCCACTTTGCCTGTGGAACCTCGCCCACGGGTAGAGCGGAATGCCCCTCAAAGATGTGAGTAGAGTGCAAAGCCCTTTTGGGCCCAAATCTTCGTGTTATACTCCTGCCAGGCGGGTGTGCAAACATTTGCAATCTGGACCTCCCCATTTGGGCCTTGGGCTTTCGCAATCGGGCCTAGGAAAAGTTGGCAAGTACGAGGGCATTTTGCAAAGTTGCATGGTGCCTGGTAGGGGCATACTTCAAAGATGGGGACCCAACCAACGCCAGGGGTATTTTACAAAATATTTTTTTTTGTCAGAGGGGCATTCCGCTCTACCCACATCTATGACCAATATCTTTTATTGCTCGTTGATAATGAAAATCGATGGTCAGGATCTCTTAATCCATGCAAGGGGAACCTTGCTCCAGGAAAGGAATTGAACTCTGAATAGTCTGAAGACTCTGAACTCATGTCAATATAACTTCAGTTCTTAGGGTTTACTATTTGAATTACTAAAGAGGTTTATCTGTGTACCACTCAGCTATAAGCCAAGTACTGACCTGTTCGGACAAAAGAGATCCAAGTCCAATCAACTCAAAAAAAGAAAAAACAAAACAAACACAGAAGGAGAAGAACAAAACACACACACAAAAGAAACGAGAAAAGAGGCCTGTAGTCACAACATCACTTACACACCTCTCGGTTCTGGCTGCTACGGGGTTCCCTGTATGACTATAATTGGGAGTAGTGGTAAGTAGGTAGTGTGAGGTGAAATTGAGAGAAGAACCTAACTAACTTTCCAAAAAAAAAAAAAAAAAAAAGGCAAAAATAAGGCATGAACACACCTGTCATCACGCGCTTGTCCTGCTCGGACAGTGTGCGCCTCATCACATCAAGCCCTCGCCCAAGCAATAGAAGGATCAGAAAGATGACACAGTGACAAATAACTGGTCCAAGCTTCCATGTCTCATTCAACCATGTGAAGACAATTCCTGGTGATGTCATCACACATATCAATGGGGCACAAGGAAGGGGGAAAGGCGGGCGAAGGGAGAGGTGGAGAGGGGGGGGGGGGCGAGGAGGGGGGGGGGGGGGGGGGGGTGTTTTTAAAAAACAAAAAAAAGGGGGGGGGGGGGGGGGGGGGGGGGGGGGGGGGGGGGGGGGGGGGGGGGGGGGGGGGGGGGGGGGGGGGGGGGGGGGGGGGGAGGGGGGGTTCTTATGGGTTGTCCTGGGTCTGTGGGTTGGGTGACCCAGGCCTAGCGCTCACCCGCTTGTCACCCACCCATTCGGGTGACCCTGGCCTAAAATTGACCCGCCCGTCACCCACCCAGGCTTGCTCGCCTAGACCCACCCTCATCCCACCCATGCCAGCTTATCAAGACCCACACCTGACCGAATGCCTCGTGGGTGGGGTGGGTGCGGGTGGGTGTGGGTCTGGGTACCCATTGCTCATCTCTAGAATAATGCTACCGTCTTCGCCCGAAGAGAACGTGCGGTCATTATAGCCGTATTTTTTGGTCCAATTTTCGCTCCAGATACAGCTATAAAATGACCGGGCGTTCTATTATGTTGAACATGGTGGGGACTACCACTCCAAAAAAAAAAAAAAAAAAAAAAAAAAAAAAGCCTTGATTACAATGTCCATGGGCGCAAATTCGACATATGATGTCTGGATGCAGAGAGTGCATGCAGTCAGGAAACGACGGACGGCCGTCTGCACATGCGGATGGCAGAGACAATGATGCCTGCAGCGAAGTGTAACAGTGTCTGTAGCTGTGCATAGGAGAAGGTGGCATAGGGGCAGAGAAGTGACCTTTGACGTAAAAGAGTGTACGGACGAGTTCACTGTGGCAAGAAAACATCATCATGATGTAAGGAAATCGCTGACATGAATCATAGCATCAACCCTGGTGCCGTTGTCCCACAGCTCCCAGTGGTCAGAGGCATGGACAGCAGCAATGTAATGGCCAGGGCCACAGACAGTGTAGACAGAGACGTGGGATGGAGGATGAAACCTCTCACCAAGCTGGCTATAACGCAGTTCAAGCTGGAGGTCCCTCATTGCTACTCGTAGAATCTCAATCGTAAAGCCTACTTCCCTGGTATAGTTACAATCCTCTGGCTCTAGGCAGGGAAGAGCCACATCAAGCTAGAGGGGAATTGCAAGAACATCCGAACTCCGTATAAGGCGGGCATTGGAGAATGTGCAGACAAGCATCAGTAGCAGCCAGACTGCAGAGATTGCGCAGTTATCTCAATGACGTTAGACGAAAAAGGACAACACAAATGTCCCTCAGGATTGTCAGAAGGCTGGAGAGCCGGATACTGGGCAACAACTTGTAGGTTATCCCACCTTCTCTCTCTCTCTCTCTCTCTCTCTCTCTCTCTCTCTCTCTCTCTCTCTCTCTCTCTCTCTCTCTGTCTCTGTCTCTGTGTGTGTGTGTGTGTGTGTGTGTGTGTGTGTGTGTGTGTGTGTGTGTGTGTGTGTGTCTGTTGCGTGACATGTGGGCTCGGAGGCAGTACTCCAGGGGGGGTTGGTTCAAGCCGGTAGCCACGATGGAACGATGGGAACACGAAGGGGCGCGGCAGACAAGGCTCTCGTGTGGTCCCGGTTCCATATCCATCCTGGAGAGCATCAGTCCTGTTCCTTTTCCCCAGCCAAGTCATAGACTACATCATGTACACCCTCAATCTTGCGTAAGGCCGACGGACCCCTGAAAGAGCAATGGTTACTCCATACTCATGGAGGATTGACTGTCATCTTGCCCTCCTCCTAGCGTTCCTCTCAGAATCCACGTACAAGAACCGGCCAGATTATAATTAACAAAAAAATTGTGAAGGATAGGTGCTGACCAAGCAATGTCTGTTGCTGATAAAATCTCCCGAGGTTCTCCGCTGGACTCTTCCTAATCTCGGAACGTCGTGGGTTCCCTGATGGGTTAAGTTTGACTGTACTTTCTTTGCTGAGGGTTAACATCCTGGTCCCCCGCTGGACTCTTCCTCATCTCAGCACACCGTGGGTTCCCGAGATGCGGGCTTGTGTTTCTTGAGTATCAGTTATCTGCCGCCTGGAAGTCGTCTCTGATTTTTTTGTGCCACAGTCTCCACCTGAGATTGACACAGTGGGCATGAGCCACCTTGCCCATAGCTTAGATAACCAAACACACTTGAATTTTGGCTACAAATTCCTGCTCCATGTACGGCTTTATCTGAACTGCGACTTTGACTTTATTACATTATATGATTATAATATATTAATAATTTAATATCAAGAAAAATCAAAATTGAAAATACTGTTACGATCCTGGCCAATTTTGAAGTCCACAATCATCAGAAAGTACAATGTTGTCCAATTGCGAAAAGAAGTGAATGAACTTGAGCCCAATGCCGTCCAATTGCAAAAGAAATGAAAGAACTTTGAGAGGAGAGAGAGGGAAAGAAGAAGAAGAAGAATCAAGAAAGAAGAAAGAGATGATGTACTCCAGCATAGACCAAAGACAAAGCTCTTCTTCTTCGCTCAACAACCTCCTCCTCTTTATCTCCTCCTCTCTTATTCAAACAATAAATAAACAATAATAATGTTGAACAGCTGAACCAGAATCAATGTCCGAATCCCACTTCTACTGCAGGCACAAGATGANGGGAGGGGGGTTGAGGGGGAAACACCCAAGGGAAAGCACATGTCAGAGGGACAAAGCCAATCAGGAGACCATGTCAGCAAAGTCTGATGTGGGAACTTCTCTCCACCCCCACCCCACTGGAAAAAAAAAAAATCAAAGAAAATCTTGAGAAGAAACAAAAAATCTTGAATGTCTTAGTATTGACCATATCAATAATAGTCCACCAGGACCAGCACCCACTGCATACACAACAAAACTCATCCAGATTAGTCATAAGGAAAAAGGAAAGATGTTAGATGCCTACAGATGTCACCCTCAGCACCCATATGTGCCACATCTTGGCACCCCTTGGCACCCCCATGTGGCATATTTTGGCACGCCTTAGCGCACCTATGTGGCGTATTTTGGCATCCCTCAGCACCACTAGATGGCATATTTTCACACACCTTGGCACCCCTACATGGCGTATCTTGGCACCCTTACATGGAATATCTTGGCACCCCTTGGCACCCCTCTTCACACCTCTTGGCACCACTTCATGGCATATCTTGGCACCCTTGCGTGGCATATCTTGGCACCCTTACGTGGTATATCTTGGCACCCTTTGCCACCTCTTGGCACTTCTACGTGGCATATTTTCACACACCTTGGGACCCCTATATGGCATATTTTGGCACCCCTACATGGCATATCTTGGGACCCTTTGGGACCCCTCTGCATACCTCTTGCCACCACTTGGCACCCCTAGATGGCATATCTTGGCACCCTTGTGTGGCATATCTTGACACCCTTTACCACCTCTTGGCACTTCTACGTAGCATATCTTGGCACCCCTGGCCACCCCTTGGCACCCCTTGCCTTGCCACCCCTACTTGGCACATCTTGGCACCCTTTGGCAAATCTAAACAGCCTATCGGATTATACCAGACAACAGCCTGGCAGAATTGGAGAAAAAAAAAAAAAGCCTGGCAGAAGTTCCTTTGAAGTTTGAACTGCTGCTCCAGTAAATATGATCCTGTCTCAAAAAATTCAAATTCATATTTACAAAAAACAGTCCCACCACTGGCTTGTGGCAGCCAAGCGTTCATAGCGACGTTGCTTTTTGATCCTTCGATGTCGGCTCTTCCTATCATTGTGAAGCAGAATTCACCAAGTGTTGGATTGTTCACCCACCAACAGTAAAAAAAAAAAAAACAGTCCCACTTCCCCCCAGAGTCAGTTGCCGAGACCCTCAAGTTGGGATCTACATGTGCTGCTCTATCCCACTACTGTGAAACGCTGTGCCAAGCGAAATGTTTTGAATTAAAGGCAACCAACCATCAGGCGGCCAATAAGACAATAACCCCACCCCCACGTCCGGGGGGATGCGTGGATGAGCACATACATAAATGAAATAAAATAAGCTGCTTGTTTTGTTGTGGCGGCTGCGTTGACTTACCAGCAGCAGCTGGATGGATGGCCACCAGTCTCAGATCTGGATGATCAGTGGCTAGAGCACTGGGCACCACTGTCCAATATGAGGGAGTCTGTGACACCGACACACAGTTTCCCAATTTCTTTTTCTTTTCTTTTCCACAGCTTCTGAGTTCTATCCAGACTCTGCGGGCTTTTCAACATGCTCCTTCCCTGATAGCCGAGTAGGAGTTAGGGCCTAGTTGCACTACTCGCCATACGCCAAGTTTGGCGAGTAGGCGCCTGGTTGCACTTACTCGCCAAACTTGGCGAATGCAAAATGTGTCAGACGGCTTGCCACACCGTCGACACAAGTTGTGGAGAGTGAATTCGGTTTCCCCGCCTGTGCACGGCGGTTTGTGGAGGGTGGTCTTCGGACCTCTCCACAAAACAACTTTCTGGAGAGTGAAGGGCTTCACGAGTTGACATCAGGTAGACTAAAAATTTTAACTTTTCTGTAGAAGAAATATAGTGGCGAGTAAGTGCAACCAGGCCTCAAGTTCGACACGATTCTCATATTTTTCACTCTCCATGCAACCACCACGAAATGTGACGGATGGCGAGTAGTGCAACTAGGCCATTAGAGCATTTGGGAACAGGTCTTCGATCTGACATTTGAGTTCGGGTGATGGACCATGGGAGCACCCTTGGAGTAGGTGAGGCCACCTACCACCTTCTTCTGAACACAACACCCCCTGATTGATCATCAGTGTATTCATTACGATGCAAGCTATTTTTCCAGTTCGGATACAGTCATGACGAGGGTGTCTTGTGTTTGGGGAAGACTGTGGCCTCCACTCGAAAACCACGGTGTCTTATGAGATACGTTGCTAGGGGTTAGGTTCAACCCTGAGGGAATAGGCTCAACCTATAACCCTTAGTA